AAAATAGCGCCACGTCAAGTTAGCGGGCAGCAGTCTGAGTTTTGACAGCGACCCGCGTTGCATCAGTGCTCAGTTATGCCGCTAAATACACAAGAAGCCGTCGCCGGTCGCGTTGGGAGTGAAGAGCCGTCAGCGATGAGGGCAGCCTGACACCAAAAACCACATTGTAAGAAAGTTTGTTTGCCACCCTCTCACTCTCCTGACGACATTTAACTGGCATGCCAGGCCACTCGTGGGTAATTTTCAAAGACACCAACAGCAAACCAGTTTGCGCCGTAGAGTAAGATTGCATCATCAGTCACCGCTGTCCTGACTGCTTTTCGTTCGTTTCCGGCCTCAATGTGTTTTTCATACACATATTTACTGTGATAATTACTCCGCTACAGTTAACCTATGCTTGATACATTCCGAACCCACCTGAAGTTGATGCAAATCTGCGATATAGACCCCAAAAAAATAGTTTGAAGACCAGACACTTTTTGCCCATGTTCTAAGAGTCCGAAAGTTGTAGCGTTAAGAGAGTCTGGGGCGGGAGCGTTGAAACAGGCCAGTGGCCAGAAAATACTTCTTGCCATCTACACAAAACTGTACATTTTCTGTTTTTGTTTGTTTTTTTCCAAAATAAACCCATTGGAGTTTTATTTGATGACCTCCGAAATGAGATGAACTTGTTTTCCGTGGTCTGTAAAAGTTGCTCTCTATATAAAATAAGCATGTAAAATGTGTTGTTTAACTGGAGAGGTGTTTTTTTTCCTTTTTTTTGGGTGTACCTTGAGGGGGTGAAGCGATAGGAAGAAGCGTGGGAGCTACTTTGAAGGCAGCACCTTCTGCTTCTGATCTTTCCACGAGCCCACCAGGAAGATCCCCTTTGCAAGGAGGGAAGGAATTATTATATGGAGGGGTGGGTCGGTGGGTGTGGCGCGCCTCGGGGCAATTGCCATCTCCAGTTGCGTTTACTGTTGCCTACTTCAAAACATTTTCTCTCTTTCAAAAGGCTGAGAAAGTGCCGACTAAGTTCAAGCGGCGGCGCAACGCGACTTGTATTCTTAGTTAAAATATTTGCCATTCCGTGCGCTGGAAGTTGGAAGATCACCAAAACGGCTCCTTTGACAGAGTAAACGAAGCACATTTTGCTGTTGTCAATGCATATAATGTCGCTTAGGCAACTGCCGTTTGGTCTTTTGGACATCTGAACTTTGCCGTGTTTTGTTTTCTCCTTCTTAAAATGTTTTATGGCGGTTGGCAAATTGACGACCGCTACCAGTGCGGTCGAGAGCGAAGGTGTATTTGCTTTTCCCTCACTCTACGTTTACATCCGGTTGCCTGGATACATAAAAATCAAGGCTGGCGCAATTCAGCAGTGGAAAGAAGACGTGGGATTTTATTTATTTATTTATTTTTTTACATAACTTAATCATACATTGCAAGTAACACGACCTCCCCAGTTTGTTCAGATTTCAATATGAACGGTGTTTCGTTTAGAAATGTCATAAAAGGGAATTCATTTAAAATAATGACTAATATTGCATGGTCAGTAGGCTCTGCCCGAGACCGGAAGGACACACAAACAACACGACCAAGTGCACGACCAAATGCTTGCTGGGACACGCAACAGTCAAGCAGATCGAGTCGTCCCGGCATGATTGACAGCTTGGCCGTCATCCTTTTTGTCCGCCGCCGAATGCGTCGGTTCCAAGGAGCAGCCCAGGACAGAGCTGGCCGTTTTCACTTGTTTATCAATCCTCCTTTCACATTTTGTTTTTATGTTTGGGTTCAAGGCATCATGACATCAACCCTCAGTTATGCTCGGCATCGCAGCAAACTCCGACAGTCCGCTACCCTGTTTTTCAGGTTTGGTCATGTGACGCTCCGCATGTAGCAGAAGTCACCCTTGACAGTCAAATTGCGACTTTTAATTGCAGTCGACAGCAGAGAATGATGTTGCCCAAAACGGCAGCCCCGCCCCCCTCCTCAGATTGATTCTGTTTACGTTGCAGTATTATTCCGAATATTGTGCACAATCCCACGTTTTGACTTTTAATTGCCCATATGTTGCATCGTTGCCCCAAAAAAGGGTTTGGTACCCCTTTAGGGGGTGAATATTGAGGCTGCGCTGTACAAGCATCAACATATTCCATCTCATGGAGTGTTTTAGAGTGTCAGAGGCCCAGACTCGTATAAATAGCAATTCGGCGACGCTGACACAGTTAGTTTTGTGGCTGTGCCAGCGGGGACACTTTGCGCCTCTTTTTCAGCAAAAGCCATGGGATCGAGTCGTCCCGGCATGATTGACAGCTTGGCCGTCATCCTTTTTGTCCGCCGCCGAATGCGTCGGTTCCAAGGAGCAGCCCAGGACAGAGCTGGCCGTTTTCACTTGTTTATCAATCCTCCTTTCACATTTTGTTTTTATGTTTGGGTTCAAGGCATCATGACATCAACCCTCAGTTATGCTCGGCATCGCAGCAAACTCCGACAGTCCGCTCCCCTGTTTTTCAGGTTTGGTCACGTGACGCTCCGCATGTAGCAGAAGTCACCCTTGACAGTCAAATTGCGATTTCTAATTGCAGTCGACAGCAGAGAATGATGTTGCTCAAAACGGCAGCCCCGCCCCCCCTCCTCAGATTGATTCTGTTGACGTTGCAGTATTATTCCGAATATTGTGCACAATCCCACGTTTTGACTTTTAATTACCCATATGTTGCATTGTTGCCCCAAAAAAGGGTTTGGTACCCCTTTAGGGGGTGAATATTGAGGCTGCGCTGTACAAGCATCAACATATTCCATCTCATGGAGTGTTTTAGAGTGTCAGAGGCCCAGACTCGTATAAATAGCAATTCGGCGACGCTGACACAGTTAGTTTTGTGGCTGTGCCCGCGGGGACACTTTGGCTCGCCATGTCAACTTGTGTTTTGTGGACCTCAAAAGTACTGTATACCGTCGGTCGGCTTTTAAGATATGTCCACCGGCTGGAAGCAAACTCGCCATGTCAACTTGTGTTATGTGGACCTCAAAAATACTGCATACCGTCGGCTTTTAAGATATGTCCACCGGCTGGAAGCAACGCCGGGCTACCTGAGAAAGGAGGGCGCCCGCTCCGGCGTTGCCAATTTGCATGCGGAGTCGGCAATATTTCCAAATGTTAAACCAGTTCGCATTTTAATTCAGCAATCCATCATGTAACCATTTCTGTGCCGTTTAATTGGCCTTCGAAAGCAATCCAAGTCCATTGACACAAGCCTCACCTTTGACATAATCACGAGCTTACTGACACGCTCGCTTGTGTTGCGTAAGGCTCGCCCTGGCAAATGTGCCGTCGTGTCTGTGCCCGCAAAGTTTGCAGTGATAGCGCGAGCAAACACTCGGCAGAATTCATTGTCAGTGTTTGTTTGACTTTGTAGTCATATGCAGAAAGAACACACGCGAGTGCCTCGACTTACAATGTAATGAGTTTAAAATCGTCATTGTCAATTTTGAAAATGTAAGGGGGGTTTTTGTTTTTGGTTGGGCTGTTCAATTTATGAGTAAAATTTAGATGTGCGCATCTGTCACATATGTTTTACTTCACTTTTTATTTGTACATCACAAGTTGCGCATTATTTTCTTGCTGATGGAACAAGATTTAAAAAAAAAAAAAAGAAAAAAAAAGGTGGCGAGGTGTGCGCCTGAGCACGTTTTTTGCGGTGTTATCTTGTGCTGACTGACCTTGGACTTCCTCCTCCACAGGCTTTGATTGATACACGCACAGGCCTCGGTTAATTGTGTGGTTATTTGTGTACGTGTTACACTTTTGGTTGGAACAAACACTGAACTCATTTTCCTGTGGGAATACTGTCCTGGCAACACATAGTTGAGGATGAAATAGTTTTCACATCGGCCTACGCTGATCAGAAACCATCTGACCTTCCTGGTTCAGTGAATTGACGATATGATTCTTTTCTTTTTTTTTTCTTCTTGTGATTCTGGCCTCCTTTGAGGCCGAGTATTCTTGCAATGTGAATTGTTAAACGATTTCCTTCCTTGGATGGTGACCTTGCGAACACGTTTGTCTGCGCGTTGGTGTTCAACGTCGCACCGTCGGCTCAGGCTGGTGAGTTTGTACTTCTCACGCAAGGCCAGGTGTCGAGTTCCAGGCGGGTTTTCAGGGTTCCCTCTGACTCGAATGTGTTTTAACAGTTTTCGGGCCTGGGGACAGGCGCATTGTGGTGCTGTCAGGTCTCCGCTTTGACTGGAACAAATGACCCGCGCAGCGCTCTTGGCCACGTTGAATATCACCTATCATTTCCTTACCCGCACCACGTCGTTTCACTCTGGCCAACATTGTTTTTCGCCTCAACACATTTGCAACGGTTGTCTTTCTTTCACCAGGTCACTTTGGGGGGGGGGGGGCACATTTAGGTAGAACTGTACTGGATCGGTTGCACTAAAAATGGGTTCTCCTAGAATGAAATTTGATGACAGTTGTTTTGACGCCAGTTCTTGATGCCAACTCCTTTGTAGCCACTCCCCCAGAGATTTATTTTCTTGAATTGCACAACAAAATCCAGAGGTTTTTCAATTTAATGCCTTCGTAACCTTTGCTGTTGCATCACAACCATCCTCAAACGAAAACAAAACATCATGCTTGATGCATGACGAGTGCAAGTGTCGTTGTGTAATCCAGTTTTGCTTTGCAGTAGACACATTTCTTGGTATCGTAACTTTTTGTGTGTAATAATCCCAAACTTTTTACATTCTGTCTTTTCCAATTTTTTTTCTGTGACTTAAGAGCACTAACATACTTAAAAAAAAATTTTTTTTAATACTGTGCTGCATGCTGCACCAGTTTACTATTTTTGACAGAGCTTTGGCGGCCTCTTGTGGCAGAGATGAATAGTTTTTTTTTTTTGTGGATATGTTCCAAGGGGGAAAAAAACAAAACCAAATTGGTGTCTGTGTTATGTGCACAAAAACTATTGACAAAAATAATCATAAACCCTTCTCCCCTGTCTCTCCGCCTCCAGTTCTGTTACTTGAAACGATAGAGAACGATGACATCGGGAGGAAGACGTTGAAGATCACAGACTTCGGCCTGGCTCGCGAGTGGCACAAGACCACCAAGATGTCAGCGGCGGGCACCTACTCCTGGATGGCCCCCGAGGTTATCAGGATGTCTCTCTTTTCCAAAGGCAGTGACGTTTGGAGGTAAGACAATTTTGGCGTGACCTTCGCCCACGCCGACCTGTGATTTTCGACGAGAGCCCATTCTAACGTTTCGCCGATGCGTCGCCATTGTTCAATGTGTAACTCTCTGGCCTCGCGTTCTCCTCCGGCAAATGGTACTTCCTAATGACTTTATATGTGACCAATTAATATTGCCAAAATGTTTTTTTTGAATGCTACTTCTCGTTCCCCCAGCTATGGCATCTTGCTGTGGGAGTTGTTAACAGGGGAGGTGCCTTACAGAGGAATCGACGGCCTGGCTGTTGCTTATGGAGTGGCCGTCAATAAATTAACATTACCAATCCCCTCCACCTGCCCCGAACCCTTCGCCAGGCTCATGGAAGGTAAATTACACCCCCACCCCCCTTCCCCCAAAAAGGCTCCACTCATTCAGGCATAACATTAGCTCCATCTGTTTGCCTCTAATTTTGCAGAGTGTTGGGACCAGAACCCGCACGTGCGCCCCTCTTTCTCCTGCATCCTGGAGCAGCTGTCAGCCATCGAAGAGGCGGTGATGGCCACCATGCCGCAGGACTCCTTCCACATCATGCAGGACGACTGGCGCGTGGAGATCCAGGAGATGTTTGATGAGCTCAGGACCAAAGAGAAGGTTCGTACAGGACGGAATATCTCGATCCGTCTGCCCATTGAGTGAATTAGCTGCGACATCAGCGCGTTTCCTGTGAGCATCCGCGAGTAATCTGGGATGCGGTTGGTGGGTGGTGACAAGGGCTTCGCCATTAAGCTGCTTTTCACGAGTTATCCGCTCAGGATTATGATTATAATACATCCCGGAGCAGTTAAAGGAAAAATGGACAGACGGAAGAGAGCGTCCGCACAACACTCCAATAAAGTGACACTGGATTTTAACCGTGATTAATCAACCATAAATGAAGTCTCCGTAATGTGTTCATTGACGATGGCAACTCACGCTCACTTCCGCTTTGCTCCCAGGAGCTGCGTTCCCGTGAAGAGGAGCTGACGCGGGCCGCCCTGCAGCAGAAGTCCCAGGAGGAACATCTGAAGCGGCGCGAGCAGGAGCTGGCTGAGCGGGAGATCAACGTACTGGAGCGGGAGCTCAACATCCTCATCTTCCAGCTCAATAAGGACAAACCCAACGTGAAGAAGCGCAAGGGCAAGTTCAAGCGCTCCCGCCTCAAGCTCAAGGATGGCAACCGCATTAGCTTGCCCTCAGGTTGGTAGTATGCGTGAAGGATGAATTTGGTCTTCAAGGCTAAATATGAGCATACACTTATTTGAAGAAGAAATTGCGAAATTTACGATCAGCATTCACTTTCACTTACATCAATTTCTTGCATAATGGCTTTTACTTTGCTTCCTCCATCCTTCATTTTTATTACTTTTATCCTGTCTTCAAGTGTGAATGCTTTTTTTTTTCTTAACTCCTTGGTCCGCAAAGGTCCGTTTCGTAGCCATTTTAGCAATGCAACGTTCGTGCTGCGTTTGAAACTAACAATAACAAATACTTCCTGGACGACTGCACATGTGTAAACCAGTGTGGTGGTTGCTGTTGCCGTTTCCGAACGAAGCAGCAGAGGTCGCTGTGGCATGCTGAGGTTGGATTAGACTTTTGCGGAAGGCTTGTTTTCGTCGTAGTGAATCTCGTTGCGAGGCAAGAGCAGAGAAAAAGATTTCGTATAACGGAACAGGGGGACTTTTCATCGTAGGGGGAGCAAAAAAGTGGGAATGGCTTTCATGCATGAAAGTTTTTTCACACTAGGGGGTATTTTCGCCCATGTAGGTTTTGTGTGGAGGAGTTTCAATGTACGTTACTTTCCGAATGGCGTGAATTCATGTGTAACCTTGCTCTGTGGCACTCTTGACATTGTAACGAGTGGCTTTCTCCTCCTCCTCCACGCATTCCTCTAGACTTCCAGCACAAAATCACAGTGCAGGCGTCGCCTTCCATGGACAAGAGGCGGAGCCTTCACAGCACCAGCTCCTCTCCTCCCAGCAGTCCCACACTCATCCCCCGCCTACGAGCTATTCAGCGTGAGTTTTTTTCCTCTAACCCTTCCCCTTTTTCCCAGCCAGGTCCGTCCGTCCCAGAGCGAGCGTCCAAACCCGCACATCGTGCACGGCTGCCCGTCAAATGGCGGCGAAGGGGAAATGCAAGAGGTGGGGGGGACATTGGCGGTGACAAGGCGCAGATGAACAAAAGCGGGCCAGGCCAGTTGTTTGAACAGTTTGCTAATGTTGTTAGTCACGCACCAACAGTCATGCAATAACTGGAACAAATTCCGCTTGACCGCTAGTGATCGGCTCTGACGTGCGCACAGAGCGCCCAGATTAGCCTCTGGCGGACATCGCCCGTTATGGATCACCGTTCAGGAAAACATTGCGGCACCAACTGTACCCATGTGTTCCATTTTGACACCCGTTTTATTCAGATTAGCAACCAGATTGAAGGTTTTAAAAGCGCTGATCTATGCAACCCAATGCCACTGAACAATTCATTCGTGTTACTCAGCACTGTAAGCAGACTTATGCATCTCGTTTTTCATTTGACTGCGACATGTTTGGCTGTTTCCAAAAGTCGTCGCGCAAAATGAACCACATCACAACCGAGCAGACGATTAGTACTATTCCTATTAGCCTGAACGCCATCTTGTGGCATTTTAGGACATTACAGAAAGACCCGATGCTGTTCGGGTTCTCGTGGCAGAAGGAGCACATCTCGACCGATTTAAGGCTGAAAGGAGTAGCATACACTGTGGACGGATTCCCGCGTGTGTAAAATTCGCACATAAGCCTCTCTTACATTGTGATCCCACAAAATGGCAGCATCGGTGCCATGACGGAACACCTGGCATTGATCCACTTTTGCTTTTTACGTACTGTAGAACGTAAGAAGAAAATACTGTCAACAAAATAAGGTGGGGAAAATTGATCGCCAGATGTTAAACTTCACACCCGGGTCCCGCCATTGCGGAATAACTGTGAAACGCAGGCGCCGTCCTGCTTATGTTGCGGTGAAACTGCCTCCGAAGGCAGAATATTGCCCGGTCGACCTCATCCCCCGATTCTTCTCGACAGCAAAATATAGATCCCTAACAGGCAGTGAGAAAGGAGATTCTTTTCACGGCACTTTTGACATGTTTAACAGGTTTAGTTGCAGAAGCCGTTCGGCATCTGTGTCATTTTTCTCCAGACTTAAAGGCGAGCAAAACCAAACCAGACTCGGTGCGGAAGGGGTTGCTGTGCTGTGAGTCAGTCAGTCAAATGACTTCTCTTTGAACGACGACATTCATTTTGAATGTCATTAGGCCAAGCCTAATTGCTTGACTGCTAGTTATTTTTGAACGTTCTCTGGATCCAAGACAAAAACACAACCAATCAAACAAGAGCCCAAGTTGTTTTGATTCAACCTTATGCAAATAACCTGGATGACTGACAAGAAAGCCGTTCTTTCGCAAGCAGATTGGAATTTGTCATATTGATATACTGAGGCAGTGATGCTACATTGTGAAACTACGCGTGCGTTTCCATTGAAGATAGAGATGATGGAACTGTTTCCCTCCTCAGTGACGTCCCCTGTGCAGAGGAACGCTTTGTTTGTTTACCAGCAGGACGTGGATCTGACCAGCGAGCTGTCGGGGTGCGGCGGTGAGGGCTGGAGGCGCCGCCCGCTTACTAAATGCTCATGACTTTTGCTCTTAGGGGAGGGGGTCCCCATCACTTGTGCCAATATGTTTGGAGATCAAAAATCGTGTTATTCTCTTTGGCCTTGTTGGTGGACTCCTCTCACACTTCTTGACACACATGGAACTGGGGACCGAAACAGGGAAGAAACTTTCAAAAATAATATTTTTTTCTGACAGATTCATTCGAATGAATTAAAAAAAAAAAAAGGGGATTAATCGGCCAACCCCAGACGTTAACACACGCGAGGCTTTAATAACGGCAGCTTTCTAACTTTTTCCTTGACGGTTCTGACTTACAACAAGCGGGATTAACCAGCCAATAACAGTCGTCTTGTCCTCATCGGTTCTTTTTTGGGGCGAGGGGGGTTAATATGTCACCTACTGACTGACCATTGTGTGTGCACATAGTCACGCAGGACGAGAGCAACCGCACATGGGGTCGCAGCGCCCCCTTAAGGCCGGAGGAGTTTGACGACTTACGGAGAGGCATCAAGAAAAAGGGGAGAACTTGGGGCCCCAGTTCAGTGCAGAGCAAGGAGAGACCCGCAGCCACAGAGAGGTAAGCGCTTTTATTTATGTTCCCTTTTTTTTCTCTCTCTCGTTAAGAGTTTTTACAGGTGTATGTATTGTCTTCAGAGTACGTCCCCTCTCAGATGGCAGCAATCCTTGGTCCACGAGTCTAATGAAGTCGCAGAAGTCTGTCCCACTCGCCGCTCTCTTTGCTGAACAAGGTGCGTTCCTTCACTCCCCCCTGGCAGTGAAACGGATCTACATTTGCTCAGTCTTCATGTTTGCCAGCGTGCTTTGAACAGTAAATCGCATCGAGATGAAATTCAAGCGATACCCGAGCCATCGTGAGGATCTCAGGCTTCCGTTTTGACAATATCAAGACATTTTTGTTTTGATCATAAAGATGACGTCGTGCCAAAAAGTGGAAGCGTGCTGTACGAATAATGGGACGATGTATTGCACTTGTCTCCAGTTGAAATGCGTTCTTATTCCCTACCTCCAGCAGGAGGCGCTAAAGACGAGGCTTTCCTTCAGGAGTGTCTGGACAGCAGCTCCAAACCAAAGCAGCTCAAGTTCCCCAACCAGGTGTACCTGGATCTACCTCTGTGGCGGGACGAACAGCAGCCTCCCTGTGCCTGCGGGGAGGGCGGGGCCGGGCCGGCCGCTCAGAGCGGCCCGAACGAGAGCCCCGAGGACCCCTACACGACCACTTCCACCTCCTCCGCCTCCACCACCCCGCAGCTCACGCCCACCAACAGCCTGAAGAGGACGTCGGCCCGCCGCAAGACCGATTCCGTGCTGTCCGCCTGCGGCTCGCTCCTGGCCTCCGTCGTGCTCGGCTACGACATCCGCGAGGCGCTCAAGAACGCGCAAGAAGACGGCGAGCCGCCGCGGGAGGAGAAGAAGAAGAAGGAGGGCCTGTTCCAGCGCGCCACCCGCTTCCGCCGCAGCACCTCCCCGCCGAGCGGCGGCCGCGCCCGCAAGGACGAGGCCTCGCCGGGCCACGCCCCCAACCCGCACGCCAACCTGGTCTCCGTGTCGGGCATTGCTGAGTGTCAGTCCACCAAGTGTCTGCTGCAGTCGGAGGCGGAGGTGTCGCGCTGCGTCCCCGCCAAGGTGGACCTCGTGCCCGTCGCTCATCACCTCGAGACCCCTCGGCCTGCCCCGCCGCCGCCCGCCGAAAAGAAAAAACAGACGGCGCCCCCGCAAACCCAAAGTCAACCGCCGGAGGTTATGAACCACAACACGGGGACACGCCTCCGCAGGAAAAAGTACAACCACCATGACGGTGAGTTGAACACCGTCTGAAAACACCCGCGCGTCGTGCTGGGCCATGAGGACAAAAATCTTCACCACGCTATCGGCCAGATTACATCACGATATATTTTCAGTGATTCTACCAAAAAATATTTTCCTTCAGTGGTAGTAACGGTGTCGACGATTCCTTCTGTCCGCGCGCAGCTAACGGCCTCCCGAGCCTGCCGCCGCCCGCCGCGCCGAAGAAGACCAGGGACACGCGGCCCGTCTCCTTCTGGGCCAAGCCACACGCGCGAGGCCTCGTGGCCCGCCTGGGTAAGAGCTACTCGCTGGGCCACTATTCCGGCGAGAAGGCGGCGCAGGCCTGCTCGCTGCTGGACATGGACGCCGAGGGCCAGAATCGCGACTGCACGGTGCCGCTGTGCCGCATCCAGAGCTCGCCGGCCAGACCCAGCCTCTACGAGCTGGAGAAAGAGTTCCTTTCCTAGCGCACGTTCGCGCGCGGGCGCCGGGGAAGCACAGACGCTGTTCTCGCGGCCGAGCTTTGCAGGTTAGTCAAGAACACGGGTGTCAAACTTGTCACCGTCGGAAGGCCAAAGTGTGGTTGTGATTGGCCTTCGGTTACCGTGGCGACATAACATGCTAGGAATCACAGTTTGGTTTTTCACTTCACATTGGGGAAAGCAAGGGCTCAAAATGCAAGAGAAACAAAAGAACAGGAGCAGGTTTTATGATGTCTAAAATGAGTCAACGATGGCCCGAAATCGTTGAGGAAAGGAAGGATGCCGACAAGTCTGACTGTAACAGTTCGAACAATGCTCATTGTTTGACTGGAAGTTGCATTTAGGACCACCCTTTTTTGCTTTTACATTCCACATTCTCGCGATGCCGCCTCAAATAAGTTAAAAGATTTGAATTTTCACCCAAAAGCCTGCCGCTCGCCTTGATCACCAGAAGCTGAGCTCCACCGTGTTTGTTTCCTGTCGATTTGTGGCCGTGACACTTTTTGTCCCTGAGCACATCCAAGTGTTCAGAGAGTATTCGGTGCTTCACTTTTGCTTCAGTTTGTGTCGCAGACTTGTTCCCCAAATGGAATACATCCATTTTTCTCATTCAACACTCTCAAATAAGTTAAAAGGTTGACTTTTCACCCAAAAGCCTGTCGCTCGCCTTGATCACCAGAAGCTGAGCTCCACTGTGTTTGTTTCCTGTTGATTTGTGGCCGTGACACTTTTTGTCCCTGAGCACAAACAAATGTTCAGAGTATTCAGTGCCTCACTTTTGCTACATTTTGTGTCGCAGACTTGTTCCCAAATGGAATACATCCATTTTTCTCATTCAACACCCCATCACGATGTGAAAAGCGTCAAATGTTTTGCAAATTTCATAAAATTGAAAAACCCCAAATCACAATTTTGAGTTTCATGGCAGTTACTGTAGATTATTATGGACGTGTAGTTTATTTTCAACATGTTGAATTTGCCTAACGTTAGCCTCAAGGCTAAGTCGCGAATCTGGTTCGCGCTCTTCCTTGAAAATCATTGAAACCACGAATCTTAAACAAGGACATGATTAGCATTCAAATGTCTCAAATTCGTTCTTTGAAAAACACATGACAAGTGGGATTTTATCTTTGTCAATAGTTTCAAAATGTCCAAATAAATGAACATCGTTCATCCACTGCAGCAGCTTTCAAACAACGCGGTAAATAAATTGGAAATGCAATGAAAAAGTCTTCAGCCTTTCACGCACCCTCAAACCTGACAACACGTTGTTTTCCACGTCCACAAGGCTGAAGCCGCCGAATGGCTCAGGTTTGTCCGAATGACACCTGCGATGAAATTGACAAAAAGACTTGTGGGTTACCCTGTACATTTCGTGACATATCTCTGTTACTGAAGCACACTAAGGGGGAAAAAAAAAAACAACAGTTTCTCCTCACCGTCAACAGTTTAACCTGATAACACGATCAGCTGTCCACTGTAATTCGATTCCGATGATGTGCGTTGGTTTGTTTTCCACGTCCACAAGGCTGAAGCCGCCGCCGAATGGCTCAGGTTTGTCCGAATGACACCACGCTGAAGTTGATATGTAAACATTCAGAAGGGGAAAAAAAAACAACAGTTTCTCCTCACCGTCAACAGTGCAGCTCAGCTTCTGGCTAGCCGGCATCATAAAATGTGGAATGTGTCAAAATGTGTTGCGTAACTCTCCCCTGCATTTGATTCTCATCAGTTTTTTTTCATGATGTTTAATCATGAGTGAAGCCAAAACGGACGAGACCAGTTTGACACCCGGGCTCTCGAACGTAGTGACGTTGCTTCCCAGCGCTTATGAGGGTTTTTTTTTTTTTTTTTTTAATTCCGAAGGATCCACACCTGGTTGGTGCAGCTAAACGTTGACCGCCGCTGCGTTCACAATACATTCTTGTATTTATATATCTATTTTTTATCAGTAATTTAATAACAGAACAAACAGTACTGTACATGCGTTAACCCCCCCCAAGCCCAGTTTGACAACTCATGTCTTGATCTGGGAACTTGTGTAAATAGGCCTTTGCATCAGTGCTGCTCGGTGGCGCTTTCAGATGCAGAGGACAGCCTTCCGTGCTGGATGGCATCCGAAGCGCCGCCCGCAGGCCCCGGAAGGAAGCGCAGGTTGAAAAAGCACCACTTCAATGAAGGAATTGCAAGGAAAACAAGTGTCCCTTTGTGGATGTTTTGCGAAACATGATGAGGACTTTTCCTAGGCGGTCCCAATGATTTGGGTTTTTTTTTTTTTTTTTGGGCCGTTACGGTGCGGCGCATCATGTGACCAGCGCTCCCCATCCGGGGCCACCTTCCTTTTTGCTTTTCATATCCTCAAACCAGGCCACAGTAAGGCTTTTTCTACTCTTTTTTTTTTTTTTTTTTTTTTTTTCGTGGAATCTTTGATACCAGCCACTAAAATGGCTTCCTCAGGATCAAATAAAGGGCTCCATTTTGTATTTTGTACTACCGTAATCCCCCCATCAGCCCCCCACCCCCCTACACACACACACACACATTTCAGTGAGGACGGACTATGCAGCGCTTCCCATTCTTGTTTTAAAAAAATGTTCTCGTTTGTTTTGTATGACGTCCCCAAATGGAAGTGTGTAAATACGAATTTTGTTTGGAAATCACTTTTACGTGATTGATTTGACAATGTGAATCCCTTCATGCTAGCTAACTGCCTTCATCTGACACCGACGGAAATCAAACAGAGGCCCTCCCCCTAAAAATTGAAGCACCGGGCTATGTGTGTCCGGGTGCCACTAGAAACAAACTGCCTCCTCGTCTCATAACGATGTGGCCATATGAACAGTTTTGCTAACCAAAACAGCAGTTGCTATCCCCACCCACATAGTTGCCAGGTGCCACTTAAGACAAAATCCTTCCTCAAATAAATTAACATTCGGGAAAATGAAAGGAAATGGGAAGCAACTATTTTCATTCCAAATCACGGTCTTTCAAGTGCCAATTTGAGCTATGTTGCTAACCAAAATAGTCGCGCCAACGGCGCCCTAATTGGTCGCTGAAATCGTTTCCAGTGGGGAAAAGAAACCGGAGTGTCTGTCATCATTTCCATTCAGGCGCTGTCGTGAACAAGTGCACAGTTTGGAGGCCGTTTCAAAAGAGTGGCACCTAACCGTATACCCCATGCGTTGGTGGGCACAAACACCCACCTCAAGTAAATCCCATCAACCTGATCAAAATGTATCAATCCAGTGTGGCCCTTGAAGCCGCCCTCAACACCGCGTTGAGTTGTGTGGGCGTGTTGAACCCACAAGCAAACATTCCGTTGTCAACATCTTGTTGTTTTCCTCGGTCGGAGCTTCTGCCAAGTGGACCAAAATGAAGGCAAAAAAAAAAAAAAAAGGTGTCATAAAAGGACATTTTGGTGTTTGTGGCGGACCAAAATGTGAGCGGCTGCGAGCGTGCAGGCGCCGAGTGTATCTCTTAGTGTACTTGTGTAGTCGAGAGAGATTCCGAGTGACGTCGGGCTTTTTGCGCTTCTGATTGGATGACGAAGTACCACACACAATGTACACTGTGCCTTACAGTGACGTTTTTTTATTATTATTATTATTGTTATTATTATTATTACAGTATTTCATTGCCTGATTGATCAAGAGATTGAACTTTTTCAATAAAGTCGAAATTAAGACTTGACGTCTGCTTCCTGTTTCTTCGCTTCAAACCAAAATTTCTAACCATAGCATGTTTTTGGAATGTGGGAGGAAAACGGAGTACCCGGAGAAAACCCACACAGGCACGAGGAAAAGATACAAACTCGACACAGGAAGGCCGGAGCCGGAATGGAACCCTGCACTTCTGCGCTGAGAGGCCCGCGTGCTAACAAGCCAACCACCGGGGCGCCACATCTTTTTTAGTGTTTTAAAAATATTACCTGTATCTTTGTTTTAAATAGAGAACGAGCAGGTTTTGGCATCGTTGAGGGAACAGACATTTTATTGTGTCCATCAAATAAAAATACAATTTTTAGTTAGACTATACAAGGAAGTGGAAGAACCCGACCGCAAAATACTGTCCAGCAATTTGCTGTGATATAAAAGACAAAAAGATTGAAGTTAAAAAGGGAGGGAGAAAAGAAGTCTTCGTTTTCATCAATCCTGCCGCCGCTGCGGCTGCTTGATCTGGTGCGTTTCACAGGGTGGGGTTGGTGATTTTGCCCAGCAAGAGGATGGCGCTGGACTCTCCCTCCACCACCGAGAAGAAGAAGGGCCGGTTGAGCGCCACCTTGAGGGCCACGCCCGTCTCCTGCGCCTTGTCCTGGGCCGCTGCGCCTTCCTCCGACATCTCCAGCGACACTTTGTTGACCGCCTGCAAGACAACGCCACAGCTTGTCAACATTTAGCTTGGAAGGATTATCAAGCGTGTAAGAATGACTGAATATCACGAAGGTATTTCCTGTAAAGTGCTTTACTTGGGGTTTAAAAAAATTAGACAACAGCAAGGTGCAATAATAATTTGCAGGGCAAAAACCTTCGTGGCAAGGGCGCGTTGAGGAATTACATTTAGCCAAATGTAGGGCTTTGCTGCCATCTTGTGGCATCCTGGTGCCAAATAACTACATTGAACTGAGTTAGGGCAGGGGTGTCAAACTCATTTTAGTCGCTGGCCAATTTCCCTCGGAAGGCCGTTATGGCAGTGAAACCAAAAAAATGATGACTTGTACACACCAAATGATGACTAGTTTTCAAATACGTCAATTATAATAGTTTGTTCAATTATTGTTCAAGTGAGTGAAAACAGGATGGCAAAATTATTGCACAATCTCAACGTTATTTATTACACGTGACAAGTTCACATTTTAGCAAGGTGACACATGATTTGCTTTCGCGGACCACATGAAATCATGCGTTACGCATGAGGCCGCCTCAGTCAAGCCTCAGTCCCTCGACTTACCTTGTTAATGGTGAACCGGTCAGTGTTGGCCAGTTGGCTGAATTGGGCCTGCGAGCCCAACAGTTTGTCCTCCACTTCCGCATCCATGTTGCGCAACAGTTCGCGGAGGTCGTTGGCACGAGACAGTGAGAACTTTGGCAGCGACAGCTCCAGCAACCTGCGTGGGAGCATGACGATCAGTACCGTGCAGAGCCCTTTTCATGTCATTTTCTGCGACTTGAACGCGTCATTGAACTAACTGGACATGTTTCCATTTCATTCAATGAGCTAGCATTCATCTTATTTATTGATTGACAGAAAAATGGATAGCTCAATAGATGGACGGACGGACGGAGTGGGGGACTGACTGACCCCTCCTGGAGGCTGTTGCTCCACGATGACATGACCTCAGTGCGCAGTTTGGCTTCAATGTCGTGTAGTTTGGCGCCCTCGTGTGGCAGCACCAACAACATGTAGGAGCGCTGACTGAGCGACAGTTTCACCACCGTGCACTTCCTCGCCTACCAAAAGCGCACACGCGTGCACACACACACACACACACACACACACACACACACACACACACACACACACACACACACACACACACACACACACAGATGACGTATTTGGGTTGTCAGCAATTCGTGGTGGTGGCTCACGAGCCAGAAGAGGAACGTAAAGACCTAACGTAAAGCCTTTCTGGGTCAAAAGAGCACCCGAGGTATTTCGGTACCTTATCATTCAAGTAGTGATACAAGCCCGTGTGGGTCATCATTGGAGTCATCACTGTGGTGGTTTCGTCCACATAAAACTCTTGCAAAGACGTCTTGTCCGGTCGGAAGGCCGTCTTCCAGTTGCCTGGACAAACAGATGGGATTGGTCGTACGGTTCAAATCAAATTTTTATACTTGACACAGACCCCATCGGCCGAATGCCGATTTTTCTCTCTGTTCAGTTCAATGAATACACTTGGACAAAGTAGTTCAAAACAGTCATATGATCTGCCTGTAATTCATATCTCTATCGTTGTAATTGTTGTAAACGTCCGCCCCCCCCAAAAAAAACAAAACAAAAAACAAAACAGTTTTATAACTGCACAAGAGAAAAAAACATGCCAAATAACTGGCAAATCCGGAACCCGCGATGGAGAAGAGTCTACTGTACTCTGTTTTTTATAAAGTACGACAGTGTTGTTTTTCTTACTGCAAAAACTTTTGTCAGTCAAATCACTGTATTAAAAAAAGACAAGCGAGTGACAAACCTCGGAAGTTGAAGAACGAAACAAAGAGAAGGTTGGAGTCGGCGTCCACGTCTTGGAAGGCATCTTTCACTTTCCCGTCAGACGTCTTGTCCACAAAAGTGTTTATGAGTTCGGGCTGGGCGAAGTCCGCGCCGCGGATGAAGGACGAGTCCGAGAAGTCCCGGGTGCCTTGAACAACGTCGGCGGACAAGTAAACGTGCGGCAGCGTGAAGAGCCACACTTTGGTGGTGATCTCGTCTTTGGGTGCGTCGTCCACCAGGGAGTTGATGCTGTGCAGGGTCTTCAGGACCTTGTGGCCGTCCACCAGCGACACGCAGTCGTCTCGGTCGGTGCCACTGCTCAGGCCCAGGAGAAGCTGGAAGGAAAGAAGGGATCAATTAGTCCACGTATTGTTTTTCTCTACTTCCGCCGACAATGTGGCTGGAAAGACACGGCCTCGTATTTTGTGTCCACTCGGGCTACATATACATGTACCGTACGTACATAACTATAGAGCAGTGGTGTCAAACTCGTTTTTGTCGCAGGTCACATTGTAGTTACGGTTTGCCTTGGAGGGCCGTTATGAATTTTGGGAAACCATATAAATGTTTAATCCCGTCCACATATGACATACGCAGCGCACAACAAATTGATCAATAACTAGTTTTGCAATCAGAATTCAAGACTAATGACCGTTATTATGGATGACATATGACAATTTGAAATTTTGGTTCAGACTTTAGCAAGCATCATGGAACTTGACATGATTGACTTGCTTTCGCGAGGCCACATAAAATGGTGTGGTGGGCCAGATCCGGCCCCCGGGCCTGGACTTTGACACCGTGCTATAGAGAGAGATCAACTGATTTAAAAAGGTCATAGCTGACACTGATCAAAATTGATCCTTAAAACAACCTCTCCACCGCAAATGGGTCCCTGGACCCAAAAAGTCGGAGAACCCCCTGACTACACTAAATCCGCCCTTGGGAGGTCCAAACCTGGAAGGAGCTGGCCGTCTTCTTGGAGGCCCCCAGGTAGAAGGTGACCAGGGATCCGTACGTGTTGACGGGAGACAGCAGCGTGTTGGCGCCCGGTCGTTTGCTGCTGAGCGCCTGGTACATCCTCAATCCCAACGAGTTCAGGAGCTCGGCCAGCACCGCCGTCCTCTGCGTGACGTTCTGCTTTTGAGTGTCCTCCCCCGAAGCATTCCGGGGGTCCGGGGTCAGGACCGCCATGTCCAGGCGCTCCACGGGAAGGGTCTGCAGGCGCTGGGCCGGCTGGGTCTGCAGGGTCTCGCAACTGACGTTGTCGGCGGCGAAGAGGTGGAAGGGGTGGATGTAGACGCGGTTGCCCCGGCCCCCGGGGACGCAGCACCACAGCAGCAGGACCACGAGAGGCGGGCGGAGACTTTGCATTTTGTTTGTGGTCGACTTCGGAATTCTTACGGGAGAGAACACAGGAGAGCTGCATGAAAACGCCGGCCCAAAGATGGGAAGTGGGAAAAGTCCGAATCCAAAGTTGGACTCGATTCCTCGGGATCGAGCCCTGCCGCAAAAAGCAAAACTCTGCAAGTCGCGGTGAAGATTTGTCATTTCCTACAGAAGCCACAAGGAGGCGGCAAAGCAGCTGACTAAACGAAGCTCCTCCCCCTCACTTCAACATAGTTCTTTGGACCCAAGAAGAGCGATATTCTTATTTATACTCGAGACTTTGCTCCAACGAAAAAGCTTTTAAGCAGATGGCAGCACGGAACAAATGAAAGAGTTAAGGCAAGGCACCGCTGTACTTCATCACTGCACAAGTGTACACGTTTCCGACACCTGTTCTTCACATTCAAATGTCGTTTCTGACCAATTTGTACGAGCGAGATTGACAAACATTCGGGTGTTCCTTCTTTTCGACGGAAGATCCCAACCAGGCGACATCTGGCTGGATCTGGTTTTCAGCCTGCCGCGCCATTAACCGGCGGCAACAGCGAAAACAAGGAGACGCGGCGGTGACGGATGGATCCTTCTTTGTGCTGCTGCAGGCTGAACGAGCGCAGGCATCGCCCTCGGTAACAGGGGTCACTTTGACAATGACTGCTCGGCACCATATCTCGATCTAATATATACAATAAATAAATAAAAAGCAACAAAAATTCAATTCTAGATTTTTTGGGGGGGTGGTGTGAGGGGTGCATTTTATATGTACTTTATAAATGAGGTAAATGTACTCAAATAGTGAAGGTTAGAAATTTTGGCAAGGTTTGAGTTTGTGTCGCAGACAGAACTCCTTCAAAAATAAATTCTGATTCACCCCCCCCCACCCCCCAAAAATGCATCCCCTGATGTTTTTGGGGTGAATATCTGCAAAAAAGCAATTGAGGCAACGTTATTTCGCGCACGTAAAAGGAGGACTTTACCCTGTTGAGTGTGTGAGCTAAGCAAACAACATTCGTGCGGATGGACCGCAGAACATGGCCTTGGTTCCTGATCAATGCACTTTGACGCCCACTCGTCAACCCCCCCACCCTGTGACTTCATGACAACATCACGTTAAAACGTCTTTTTTTTTGGACAGATATGCTCTGCTGCTAACTTTCCAGAAACATGCCGATCGCCCTCTCCGCGCAAGCCGAAGACAAACATCTCGATGGGGAAAGCGAGGAGCCGGCGAAGAAGTCTCTTACCGTGCGTGCGCAGGCTGCCGCTGAATGAAGCTGCAGCTGTTCTGCCCCTCTGACTTTAAAGCAGACCACCCGTGCTGGTTACTGATTAACACCCCTTGGCTGACTCACGGATCCATTTCGGCAAGGACAGAGACCCCCGGCCGCCCCCACCACGGCCCCCCGTTCTCCCTCCCTCTGACTTGTTGACTTGATGATGTAAGTGCATCCTGAAAAGGGGCCCGAAGGCCTCGTTCACAATAGGAAGGGCAAAGGGAGAAGGGTCCATTCAGCAAAACGTCGCACAGATGTGAAGCGGTGACGTGCAAATGGTGTTCCCGAACCAGTAAACAGGACTGAAAGACAAACATGAATCACTCAGCTGGAAGGAAACGGAAAAGTACCAATTCAACGGGCCAAATGTGGAGCGACTGGAGCAATGCGAGAACAATGTCTTCTGCCGGTGTTTGTTGTTCTTTGCCGGATTGGATGATTGACGTCTTATGAGAGGAATTGGCAGCTGGCGGCCCCTGCCCACATGGGCACTTGATTTTTTTAAAAAATATATATTTATTTAGTTTTGACCAAGATTATTAGAGTTAACAAAAATAAATGGAAAAAAAATAAAATTGGAAAACCTTTTTTTTTGTTCGTGAAATAAAATAAAATCTAAATTTCTTTTGAAAAAATAAAAACAAACTGCAACGATATCTTACATTTAGATAACTAGAATTATCGAAAAAATGTCCTTTCTTTTCATCTTTTTTTGGTCCTTTCAGATATATTTATTTTGCTGTACGTCCACACAGAAGAAGGAAGGTCAAAGTTCACTTTATGACCCAGTCTTTTTTCTTGCACTTGACGAATATTTTTTGTACTTAAAAAAAAAAAAAAGAAAAAAAACAATAAAACTGATACCAAAACAAATAAAAACTAAACTGAAACTAAGCATTTTTTAAAAAGTATTAACAAACATGAAAGCTGCTCTAAAATGTCTAAAAATGACAATTAAATGATTAAAAAATAAATAAATAAAAAAAATTCCAAATGGAGGAAAAAAATAACTATAATGAAAATATGAAAATCTCAAACTATTTTAACCCTGGCCGGCACGTATTTTGTTCAATTTAAAATGGCAGAGTCGCGTATGCAGGTGTAAAAAGTTGTTCGATTGAGTGTCAACCAGGTCCGAGTGTACCGCTGATCTTGCCGAGTCAGCGGAAATAGTCTTCAGATAGCCACGAAACCTAATGAGGACAAACAAGATGAATTAAAGACTGCAAATTACAAACGCATGCGAACGATGATAAAAAAAAAAACATCGCCTCTCCTCTGTTGTCGTGAGAAGAGAGCAAACACTTTGCAAATGTTCCTTTATAAGGCCTTCGTATCCGTGTACGAAAAGGCCGACATCCATGAGGGCAATCTGAAAAATCCTTTACACACACACACACACACACACACACACACACACACGCAGATGATATTTTCTCATCATAAATGGAAGCTATCATGCCGAGTATGATGACATCCTTTTATGGTCAAACAGCCTCAAGAATAAATTGCAGCTGCCGAGGCCCCATAAACGAATAACTTTCCTTCAAGTGAAACGATGTTTGCTCATTAATATTTGGGCTTTGTGGACAATTATTATTTTTAGCGGTCATTTAAAACTACGGCATACAATCGCATACTATAAAAGTAGGGCGGAGGAGCGTTCACAAAATAAGCGCTTCATCCGTTTCTGACCGTAAAGATAAAAAATATTGAAGATGAAACACGATGAGGAATATTGAGGATGTTTTCCGTGATCAAATGCCAACTTCGCTCATTGTTTTGTTCTTCTTCCTTGTAAATGATCCAAAAAGCAAATATTTAAATATTATAACATAATAATCAATATTAAATATGAAAACACGTACGGCATAAAGGAGATATAAAAGTCTACACACCCCTGTCCAAGTGCCTGGTTTTGGTGTTGGTTTATTAAAAAAAAAAAAAAAAAAAAAGAAAAAAGACACACAAACTTTTTTCCATGAATGTGACCACGCTGTACAACTGAATTAAAAATAAAACTTATTTTTGCAAGGGTAAGTAAAAATGAACCACTGACATAATGTGGCTACACAAGTGCAGAAATCACCAATCGCACTCAATCTCACCTGAAACGTTCTAGTAGGCGTTCCCTTTTTGGGGGGGGCTTTCTAGCAGAAGCTTGAAGGTTTTGCGTCTAACACCAGCTGCTATTTGGAACTGGTCGGAATTCATTGCAACTTTTCTAATGGCCCAGTTCAAGCTGACCCCCCCCAACCCCAAAAAAAAGCCCCAAAGCACGCCATTGCCACCACCAGGAAGGTCAGGTGCTCTTTTGGTAATGAGCGCTCATATTCACGCCAAATTCAACATTGGTCACATTTTGGACCATGATAAAATCTCCCAAACACACGTGGGAAAATGTTTTCCTGCTCTTCTAATAACAATAACAGCGCAGCAGCGAGAGCGTGGGACAATCGCTCACCATTAACGTGTCAGAGTTGACGTATCCTGCGTGTGATGAATTGCACTTCCCCAAAAGCCGTTCAAGCAGACGAGCAAAGAGCTTCAAACAAACGAGGGTGTGTTTTTACATGTGGAACAAACACCACGGGACACTTGGATCATTTATGGCTGGCGAAAGGAGGTGCTTGGCTTATGATATAAACTGTCCTGCGGTTCTGGTGGGGCAGGTTTGGAAGGTGAAGTCACCATGCGGACCCTCTTGGTTGTTTGCAGCGTCGTCATCCTGCACGGCGTGCGAGGTATTGCTGGCGTCGGTCCTCCGCAAATGGTGACTCTGGCAAAGTTTCGTCTGACGGATGCGATGCTTATTTGGTTTTGGTCTTTCATAATCAGGCGATGGGGACCTCAGTGACGGCCGACTGTACACGACAGCAGGTACACACCACTTTTATTTGCAAAAGTTAGGACGTTTGACACATCCTGACATCAGAATGCCAAGATGACAGCGGCTTCAAACTGGATGCTCTCTGAGAGAGGCGGTGTCACTAGCTTGTTGCAACAGAGATAGAGGGACTGGAAGAGTCACTGAAAGGCATCAAGGTGGAAGTGTTTTTGTTTTTTGGTTTTTGAGCCAGTAGTGGAGGCGATGTTCACAATGACTGGCCACAAGAAGAATGTGGCATTTATCACGTCTACCTCAGACTGATGAAGCTCCAATATTGGTTCTGGCCCGCCCACAAGGGAGTATTTGTATGTTCTCCTCCTACCACAGTTTAAAAACAAGCATGTTGGGTTCTCACTGAAGACTAAGTTGAGTGTGAATGTCGGTTTGTCTGAATGAGCCTCTTGGTGAGCAATTGAGGGTCTCCCCCCGCCTCTGACTGAAAGTCAGCTGGGAAAGGCTCCAGCTCATCCGCGACCCTGTTCTGTTCAGTTCGGGTCCACCTGATATATGTCAGTCATGTTGTCACCCAACTCAGCAATTCAGGTTTTGCCATTTGTTGATTCAACTTTGTAAAATATTTCTTTGAGCAGCTCAGGCCTCGTGCCGCTACAGCTGTGGCAGTCACATGGGAAGCTGTTCCTGCTCCAGCTCGTGCCAGTACTACGGCAACTGCTGCCGAGACTACAACTGTGAGTACCAGGATAGGCTGCGGCACATCCCCAGTAGTGTTGTTAAAACCATTTTTTCTCTCAGATTACTGCAGTAACACGACTCCGCAACCACGGACCACAGGTACACAAAAAGTCACTTAGAAAATCGTCCGACAAAATCCAAGATTTCAAGATGAACTAAAAGATTGCGATTCCTTCAGCCCAGGCCTCGTGTCGCTACAACTGTGGCTGGAACGTGGGAAGCTGTTCCTGCTCCAACTCGTGCCGGTACTACGGCAACTGCTGCCGAGACTACAACTGTGAGTACCAAGCAAAGCTGCGTGACAAACTCAGTGGTGGTGTTAAAACCCATTCTTTCTCTCAGATTACTGCAGTAACACGACTCCGCAACCACAGACCACAGGTACCCAAAAACCAACCAAAAAGATTTCAAGGTGAACTAAACGGTTGCGATTCCTTCAGCCCAGGCCTCGTGCCGCTACAGCTGTGGCAGTCACATGGGAAGCTGTTCCTGCTCCAGCTCGTGCCAGTACTACGGCAACTGCTGCCGAGACTACACCTGTGAGTACCAGGATAGGCTGCGGGACATCCCCAGTGGTGTCGTCCCTGACAAAAATGTGTCAAACCATTCTTTCTCTCAGATTACTGCAGGAACACGACTCCGCAACCACAGACCACAGGTACACAAAAAGTCATTCGAGAAAGTCACCCCACAAAATCCAAGCTTTTGAGACGAACGGGAACTAAAATGCTGGGATTACTTCAGCCCAGGCCTCGTGTCGCTACAACTGCGGCAGTCACATGGGAAGCTGTTCCTGCTCCAGCTCGTGCCAGTACTACGGCAACTGCTGCAGAGACTTCAACTGTAAGTTTATGTGCCTAAAGCAGATTTTTTTTCCCCTCACCGCGATCCCGCAGTCCCTCGTGAGCTGTGTCAAAACTCTTTTTTCAGATTACTGCCACGCGGGGACATCACAGCCGTGGACCACAGGTACTTCATTGCCATATTTGGGCAAAATCAGTCGCTAAAGCGAGGTCCTTCTTGTAATTTTGTGACATTCTTCCCATTGTATCGGCCAGGTATGCCATCCTGTCGCTACAACTGTGGCAGGAACATGGGAAGCTGTTCCTGCTCCAATTCCTGCCAGTACTATGGCAACTGTTGCCCTGACTACTACGGTGAGCATGATGTCCCTGAATGACACCCCCCGAGCATGAAAAAAAAAAAGTGCTGACTTCCGTGTGTGTTTGTGAAACAGCCCACTGCTCCTCCACAAGTGCCATGCCAACCACAGGTAGGGTCTTCTGCATGAACGTCACCATCAAGTGAACATAACAAGCCTCATGGTCATAAATGCCCCGATCTTCAGAGGGGCCTTGCGGAGGTTCCATGTTTGGCTCAGGTGCCTTCTCCAGTCCCAGGCACCCCGATGACTACCACAACAACGCCTACTGCGTGTGGCACCTCAGATCTTTGCTCAACCAAAGGGTCTTGCTGGAATTCTCATACCTGCAGTACGTGAAGAATTTTGGATTCTATTTCAGAGCAAAGAGAGTCAAAAATTATTCGAACTCAACTACCACCGACTACTTGGATCGCAAACTGTAATCCGGACTGGCAGGGATTGTAGTATGATGCCGAGCGCTCTTATTAGAGCTAGCGCATGCTAACATTTGAATAGAGATCGTGTTCGGGGTAGAGCTATCTTTTGGGTTTGAAAAGGGTCACTGTTACAATTGAGAAGGCTTAGGGTAGGTTTCAATTTTGTTTTGGGCTTTGAGAAGTGTCAGGGCTCCGATTTGTGGAGGTTGACGTTTGCGTAGCATCGGGGTTGGGCTCAGGGAGGGTTTGGGATCATGTGTGGGTTTGGGTATAATTTAATTAGTCTTTAGCAGTGTGGAGTGAGGATTAAAGTAGAGATTTGGGGTTGTTTCATGGTTTCAGTCAAGTCAGGCTTACGTTTTTGGTGGCTCGACCTTGGATTGGCGCGGAGTGGACGGGGATGGGGTTTCGAGGTAGGATTCATTGAGGTTACGTTGCAGGATTAGACTTTGGGTAGGTTTTGGGGTTCAATCACTGCAATTTGAGACCATATCATCTCTACCCTTAGTTAGTGATTTTTGTTGTAGAGGATATGATTCAAACAATGGAGTTCATGATTGGACGGGAGACAACAACGTGAAAATAGTCCTCAAAGTTTTGCCTGAATTGATTTTACTTGTGGGCAGATTGCAGAGCTGCTGCAGCTGTGACTACGTTTCAATCTACGATGGTCCATCCGTCAACTCGCCATACTTGGGAAAAGTGTGCAACGACAACAACAACAACAACGACAGCTTCAATTTTTTCTACTCGACCTCCAACCACATGACCGTGGTTTTCCGGAGCGACGGTTCGGTGGTCGGGAGAGGATTCCGTGCAGAGTTCACAAGCGCTCTGCCCCAGGACTCGGGTACATTTTTTTTTTTGCCATCATCAAATGCGACAGCTATAAAAAGTCATGTGTGATCGCGGAGTGGCTTGGATGCGAGTTCTTCTTTTTGAGCCTTATGGGCTACTGCAGTTCTTGCGTTTTTATTTGGGGGGGCCGCAGGTGGGGAAATGTGTCATTTTGATGTATTCATCTCGTTACCCAGTCAAGCAACGTGGTCTTTTACCAGGTCAAGTCAACTGCTCCTCGGATGACATGAACATTGTGATTGGGCGGAAGTACCTGAACTCGTTGGGCTACGACGGCCACAATCTCTACCTCAAGGATCAGTACTGTAGACCCGAAGTTTTTCAAGAGAAGGTGGTCTTCAACTTCCCCGTCAATCGATGCGGCACCAGTCGAAAGGTAGATGGTAGTTCCGGAAGAAGAGTGACCACTGACAAAGCGCCACCAAAAACATACAATTGAATGTTTCAGTTTGAGAACGGCAAGGTGGTGTACACCAACACGCTGCGCGGCTACACGTCGAGCTACGGAGACATCACTCGCAAGGCCAACTTAAAAATCGAGGTGGTGTGTCGGATGGATCGATACGCGGCGGCGCAGATTATGTACCTGGCGCAGAATCACGACAACACCAGCATCACTGGCACGGGGACGTTCAACACCTCCATGGACTTCTACACCAGCAGCAGCTTCTACTATAAGGCATAAAAACTTTTGACGGAAAGGTCGACGCCTGACAGGCTATCTAACGGCTGCCTTGATGCTCTCCTCCACCAGGTGACGGAATTCCCATACAAGGTTTCTCTCAACCAGGACCTCTACGTCCAGGTGGACCTGAGGAGCAGTATGGCCAACTATCTGGATATTTTCCTCGATACCTGCGTGGCCTCCCCATCCTCCGATGACTTCCACACGACAACCTACTTCCTGGTGCGCAACGGGTAAGAGCGGCACCAAATAACCACCACAACAGATCCCTACTTTGCTACTTTGCAATCTGGTGGCCCGCTGGATGAGTGGTTAGTGCGTCGACCTCACAGTGCAGAGGTACAGGGTTCGATTCCGGCCTCCCTGTGTGGAGTTGTTCTTCCTGTGCCTGCGTGGCTTTTCTCCGGGTACTCTGATTTCCTCCCACATTCGAAAAACTCTGTGTGCATGCGTGCATTGAGCACTGTAAATTGCCTCGAGGTGTGAGTGTGAGCACGGATGGTTGTTCATCTCTGTGTGCCCTGCGATTGGGTGGCGACCGGTTCAGGGTGTCCCCGGCCTACTGCCCGAAGACAACTGGGATAGGCTCCAGCACACCCCGCGATCCTTGTAGGGATAAAGCGGATCAGAAAATGGATAGGTGGATGGATACGCAATCTGTCTTCTCCGTCCAACCCATGCACATGTGAGGAACACATACCAAGATGAACCTTGATGAAATTTCGTACGACGATCTGCGGTCTGCGTTTGCACATACGGAGCTGAGGAAAGAATCTTTCGGGTTTGATCTCACATTGTTTTGTCATCATTTGTTTTTTTCCCCCTGCTATCCAAAAACTGAAAAGTTTCGCCGACGGCGTCAAACATGATTCAAATTCCTGCGATGCTGCCCCCTGGCGTTTTGGAACGTGGTCGTTACAGGGCATGTCAGGTCAGCACATCTTCATCGGCACCACGATATCTCCCAAAAATAATGCGAGCTCGATCACAACATTTTCAACTGTGTAAACACGGGCAGGAGTTGGCTGAGCCTCCGTTTTCCCCGCTCTCAAAGTGCCCTGCGACGGACAACACGACAACACCTGAAAACAAAGCGAAACGCGTCGTTGCGCGATTACCCACTTGTCGTGCTGCTCTTCTTCCGCTCAACCGGTTGGCCACCCGAAGGCGTAGCTCAGTTGTCTCACGGCCGGTTGTCCCCGCGCAGGTGTCCCGTGGATAACACGTACCAGTCGTACGTCAGCGGCAGGAAGCGCAGGAAAAGAGACGCGGGCGCCAGACACAGGAGCCAGATTCTCGTCTTGGGTCCCATCCAGCTTCTCGGTGAGTAGCACTCGAGCTTGACACCGAGGAAACGAGCAGTCACGACATTCTCCACGCTTGTCTTTTCTTGTCCTTAGACCCTGACAAAAAGGAAAAGGGCTCCGCAAAGGAGGACGCCGGTTGACAAGATCATCCACACTTGTACTACAAATCAGAATCGCAAATCAAACATACTCACCTTTGATTAAAAGCCGCAAGAAAGACAATCTGGGATTTTTCTTTACGCGCTGAGAAGATGACACTCGACTCTGTTAGAAAAACACTTTTACTGATAATTTACCTCAACAAATTAGCACCCCAAAGGATGAAAGGGCTTTCGACATAAACGTTGACCCATGAAGTGACAACACGGTGACGACCGAAGGCATCATTCGCTCCTTTTTATCCCCACTGCACACACATCGCTTGGCAACGGACAACAGCAGCCGACAATCTTGCTAATGTAGGACACCCTGGCGAGATCAACGCATACAACAACTTGTGCAATAATCACGGTTGATTGCAATCATCGATTGCAGCAAAAAAAAAAAAAAAAAAAAAAAAAAAAAAAAGAAAAAGCACCGGGCAATAATTTCTCACATTTTAAAAACGGGTCAAGATGTTAAAAGTCTACCGCGCACTCAATATTCATTAAAAATGTTTTTTTTCCATACATTGAACATCAGATCAACTACTTAGAATGTGCAGTAAATATTCAAAAGGGGTGGGAAAAAAAAAAAAAAGCACCGGGCAAATACATTTTGGCAATCGCTTCTCACCAAGGTTGTAAGGCCAAGGGAATACAGTTCTTAAAGTGGCAAAAAGTTCAGTGTGTTAGCTTACTAAAAAAGAAGTCACGTTTCCTGGTGGCCCCTGACCAAGTGTGTTTGGGGGGCGACGGGACGCAACCAGTTAAAACGTTGGTCGCTGGAAATGGGTCGTAGCAGCATTCGTGAAGGAGAATTTTGGCAAAAATCAAGGCGATACGTCAACCTCTTCTTTGCTATTTCACTCACAAAAGTCAAAATGTCAGGCACTGCAAAGGAATACTGGCATGATTTCAACAGCGCGTCACTTGGAGCGATGTTGTGTGAGGCAGGCAACCTTCGAGGTTTAGCTCAGAAGACTTGAGACTCCTACGACGCGCTCTCTCTCTCTCTCTCTCTAGCTAGACATATATATAAATATTCTTGTGTTGTATGGTTTGAATGGTATGAAGGAGTACTTAAGGACACAGACGAAAAAAAGTCAGTAGTAATCTTCATTAAAAAAAAAAGTTGCAATATTATGAGAAGAGTCATCACTTTTTTTTTTTTTTGGAACATTGAAACTTCTTCAAAATGAAATTTGGATGTTTTCCTCTCAGATTTGGACTTTCTTCACTCTGATAATAATCTATGGCACAGATATACTTCCATTATATTCCGACTTAATTTTTGTAAAGGTCTCGACTTTGTCCTAATATTGCAACTTGCCCCCCCGCACCCCTCAAATAAAATGATGCCATTATTCTTGTCAAATTTTGAAAATGCAAATGGTACACTTACAAATGTGTTGCCATAAAATTCCCTACGACTCCTTCATAGAATTCAGACTTCTTCTGCCCATTGTGGGCAAAGGGATCCATCTCAATGCCGACATCTTCCCGGAAGGCGAAAATGCTACATCGAAGCCAGTGGGAAGAGGAAAACCAAAAGAGAAACCAATCACTAAAGATCCTGCAAAGTGACTCATTTTAAAAGCGGTCACTTGTGCTGGCCGCGAGCAAAGTGGCAGGCAAAGTCGTACTTGCTCCTGCACTTGTGGCCGCAGATGTTGCACTGGAACGGGTTCTCGTAACCGTGGCAGCCCATGTGGATGGTGTAGAGGATGTTGTCGGGGAAGTAGATGCCGCAGTGCTGGCAGCGATGCGGCGCGTGCCGGGGGGCCGAGTGGCCGG